TGTTATCCTGCATTTAAATATATACAACAGCAACTAAGTGGGAAAGTCTATATAAGAATCAGTAGATTTGCTACCTAATAACTTTTATTTAAAAATTATACAGAGGGTTTCCCAATATTGTTCACAGTGTTTTCTTTCATACGTTCTCAGGCCAGAAGGGACCATTGGGATCATCTACTCTGACCTCCTGGATAACACAAACCAGAGAACTTTCCTGAATGAATTCCTTTTGAACCCGAAAAACATCCCCTCTTGATTTTAAAATGTCCAGCCATGGACCATCTCCCCCAGCCTCCGGTAAGTTTTTCAATGGTCAGTTACTCGCTCTGTTAGAAGCTGGCACCACATTTCTTGTTTGTGTATGAAATGTCTGTTTGCGAAGGAATTGTACAGTGGTCTGTCTTTGACGCTGATTGGGAACTGTTATTAGCTGTTACAGTCAGGATTTTACATACAGCAGCCCTAAGGTTTGACTCTGTGTTAGGCGTCCTGAAAAGCCAAATCTCTGGCCTTTGCTTCAGCAGAGAGTTAGGCTGAGATGCAGAGAGAAGAGGAGTTAAACATGTTCTCAGGGTCCCCTACCCTATTACACCTGCCCGTACTCTCTCCTTCTCTGCATTCGAGATTTCCCCCTCATCAGTGCTGTAAAGAAACCTGGACAGCTCGCGGAGGCTCTGTCATTCGGTTGCAGCCTTTCTCCTCAATGCTGAGTGACAAATAGGGGCCTGGAAGGCGCCTCGCTCTATTTGCCAGTCAGAGGCTTGGCTCCGGATACCAAACATATGTCTGTCTTTTCTCCTGCGGCTGCTGCAGCATTATTGGGTAAGGAGGAGGCGGAGTGCACCGAGCAGAGGAGGAACCAGCTCTCTGGGACACAGGCAACATTTACCTTTTCCGACAAAACTCTGGCTTGTGCTGTTTACCTTCTTTTGCCCTCTTTTCTTAAGTAAACTTGAGGGCAGTAAATTGTGAAGAGGCTGATCTGGGTCTTATCACTCACTGTGGGTTGTATTCATCTCCCATGATCTGTGACCTCCTGACTGCATCAGCAGTTGGCAGGAGCAGAAGGTCATAGATCATTATTCCTTAACCGGTCCCAGAAGGTTTTTCTGTTCTGCCGGGGTTTGATTGTGAAGAGCCACACAAGACTGGCAAGTGTATGCTTAGTAAATGACTCCATCCATCTTTCCTCATTGCCTCTGCCCCCTCGGCTACGGGAGCTTAAAATTGGCTCGCTCTTAAACTTTAAAAGCCAAATGCTTTTTAAACGGGGTGCCAGGACCTACTCTAGCTGGCAAGAAATATTTCTTATACAGAACCGGTGTCTCCTTTCACAGCTGGCAATTGAAAAGCCCCGGATCAGTCTTTTTCTCTCCAGAACCTTTAATTGGTATCATTCACTTGGGCTAGAAACTCCCTCCTGGAGTTCAATTAACATAAAATAGGAGCCAATTAGCCTTTCCCAGTGCCCTCGGGAGCATGCTCCGTATAATTCACCGAGACAATAATTCACTGAGACAATGGCTTTGTTTTATGGAGAGCCCTCAAGGATATGTTGTCCTTAGGAGTGTTTGGGCACATTCATTGCTCCAACGGACGGATGTCCCAACTCGAAAGCCCTGAACCCTGCCCTGCCACATAGAGCTGATAAAGATTGTTCACATTTTTGGCAAAAATTTGAAATAAATAAAAAGTTAAACAAAAATTTGGAGCAATTTCCCTCCCCCTTCCATGGTTTGACCAGTAATGACGCTGATTGGCAATCTTCAGATATTTCAAAATGCAAATAATTTAAAATTTTTAAACTTTCCAATTACGGGGGGAAGGAAAGTTTTATTTTTATTTTTTTAAGTCACTGACGTATTTCCCTTTTTCTCTAGCCAGCTCTGCTGCCCCATCATGAATTTTTTGCGACGGGCCCTCCCACAGCTGGGAATTGGAGATGAATACAGCCCTTGATATTGAAATGACATCTCAGATTTGTCCTGACTACACTGGAAAGCTTTGTGCGGTTTTACTTTCCCATAGATGGCTGGTCGAACGTCAAGGTTTTCTATGGGCCAGGTAGAATACAAGGTGATGACAGAGGATGAGCAGTCTGGATTGTGGGTATTTCATAGCTGGTGGGGCGTACTGGTGAACAGATCAAATATCAGGGCTCCCTACGCAAAGGGTTAGTGTGATGGGGTGTGGCCCCCCACACAGGCAACAAGAGAGTTAATTGCGTCTGAGGCCAATTAACCATATGCCTGCCCCTGGAGAGTGGACCAGGCCTAGTTAAGGATGCAGCCCAGCTGGCGAAAGAGCTGCATGGTGACCTTAAAGAAAGGACGTCTGGAGCAGAAGGGGCCTGTGGACGGACAGGGAAGAGCTAGAGAATAGAGTGACCCGAGGAGTTAAGGAGGGAAGGCCAGGGGGAGAGTTGGCCCTGGGAGTCAACCTGAATAACAAAGTCTGGCCAGAGGCCAGGGGAGACAGAGCAGCTCCGGGGGTAGGGCTGCCTCTTATCCGGGTTTTACAGGATGGTCCCGTTTTTGAGGTAGCAGACCTGTGTCCAGTTATAAGGGCTCAGGTTCATCCCAGAGGTCCAGGTTTCTTGCACCTCAGAGGTGGCAACCCCACACTGGGGTGGAGCATGCTCGGGCAGTGAGGAGCCTGGATAAAAGAGCAGGATCTGGACTCGCAGGGAGGAACGGAGCCAGGGGACATTCAAAGGGAGGAAAGGTCAGGCCTGAGGCGGGCAGAGTGGGTTTTCACTTTTACTTTGGGGTTGGTTTTGCTGGGGCATTCCAGGGGGATCCCTGCAAGAAGGGCGAACCCAGCGAAGCGGTGGGAGAGGCCTGCCGACAGGCCTGGGTGGTAGGAAGAAGTCCAAGGAGGTGGCAGCAGGGAGTTTGGCGGAGTGAACCTTGATTGTCTGTCCTGGGCTCCCTGGCCTGGAACACAGTGTAGAGGGCGGGCCTGGGGTCACCTACCAGCCACTCATGAGGTGGCATGAAGCCTCTGAGGCAGGAATATGGACTACGGCAAGCCCTGAGACAAGGGTGTATGGACCACAGGGCCCCGAATCAAGGGCGGCAGATGTGACTTAGGGAGCGGACTCTTGGTTTAGTTGGACTTTGTTACCCTGGAAGGCGTGGGACTGAATGTGACCTGGCCGGAGAGCTGAGTCATGAGAAAAGGTGAACCACCGTAGGACCTGGGTGCCATAGGCAGGGGGCACAGGGGAGGAGAGCCAGCTATGCCACGCCCAGCCAGGAGTCCACCCTTCCACCGTTAAATAATCAATGGATGTTTATGGTATTCAGCTTTGGGATGCACAACTGCTGCAGGCAGTAGCATCCAATTGGGAGGGATAGTAGTAATGGAGGTATTATTTATGAGGGAGGCAATGTGGTGTCGTGACTAGAGCCCTGGACTGGGACTCACAAGACCTGGGTGACCTTGGGCAAGTCATTTCTTGTCCCCGTGCCTCAGTTTCCCTATCTGTAAAAGAGGGATAATGATGCTGACCTCCTTTGTACAGC